CTCTATATTTGTGTCAAGAATGGAGCATCAACATATAATGATGTTATTGGGACTTTCCAAGAGATTTTCATTTATATCATAAAGTATAAAACACAAATCAAACAAACCTACTGCCATAAAATAGTTCCCAACTCACAGTGATCCTTTGGGGCAGAATAGACTTGCTTCCCAGAATTCCCAAGGCTGTGAGCCTTACAGGATCCGATGGTCTGAGCTTCCTCCCTGGGAAGGGGTAGGTGGGATTTGGATCGCCAATGTTGCAGTGTGGAATCTAATGTCTAGCAGCCAGCAAAAGCAGAAGTTCTACAGAAAGTGTGTCTATAATTGTCAAAATGATTGTTATCTTTTATGCTTGGAGCAAATTCTATGTTTTAAAGAGTTATTGTACGTATTGTTTGTTGTACTTAAAAATTAGTGTTTCTAAGTAAACAGTTTTGAAACATATTACTATTTTCTTTGAAAATAAAGGATCTCACAATGATATTGAATAATTTAAAATTTTAGAATAAAAAATACCAAATAATTTTAGCTATATTTCATTTTATAAAAAATATATATGTAATTCTTGGGTCATTCCAGGAAACCCAAGGATAGTTCAAGGTAGATACCTTAACCATTTTATTATGATAAATCCAAACTTCAAATTTAAAGAGTATATTGTCAAAGAAATCTAAAATAAACATATGTAGTAAGAAGGAACTTGTTACAATAATTTGAAAGCAGACAGTAAATAACCTTTATTATAAAAAATAAATTTGCATATGTCTAGAAATATATAGCTATTGAAATAAAAGATAAAATTAATTTTCGTTTTATCATTGATGCATATTTCATTATTATAAACTTTTGTAATCTTTTTTGAAAAAAATGATTAACTTTCATGCATATGCCCAATTCTTTGTCAACTTTTCGATTATTCACATGCTGTGGAAACCAGCTTTTATGACAACTTGGACCAAGTGAAAGGGTGAAAGCGTGTCATCCAGTGTGGGGATTCCTCCTTGGGGATGTGGCCTTTTGTTGTTTTTGTTGTTGGGAGATTTTTTTTTTTAATCACAATCATTAATTGGGATTAATACATATATTAAATCATTCCACAGTTTAATCACGTCCAGCAGAATCAGACATTTGCTAGCACAATAAGTTTCTGAATAGAATATTCTTTTCCTATATGGTTCACTTGATGTTGTAACCCCTGTATCCTGCCCCCACCTCTGTGACCCCCCTCCCACCAAAACTCCATTCCACTTGCTAGCTCTATATGTCATTGGTCATGGTATTCATACAACAAAAAATGAAAAAAATATATACCACAACTTCAAGAGGGTGACCCCCACTGATAATAATACTTCTGAGATGTCCCCTGCTATGGAAAATTAAATGTTAAAAAAACCAATAAAATCCAAAAGTCCATTAATTTTTGGAAACCAGATCAGGTCCAGCATGCATCACGAGGGATTCTGTTGCCAAGTTTTAAGTGTTTCAGTCCGACATATGCCTGTGATCTTCTGTACGCAACTCTCCAATACTTTACTCCTATCCCTCAATTGCGGATAGAGGGAGCTCACCAAAGGCGTACTTCCTATGTAATTCCAACAATGAATCTTGGGCCCTATTGTTATCCATTGACTTCTGTAAACCCGATTATCAGGTTTTAGGCTCTGATACTAATCCCTCCCTTCCACTTCAGATTATATGCTTCACAATCCTTCGGTGACTGACAATGGTGTGCTTCTTCCATGTGGACGTCGGTGACATCTCACATAAATGGCTATTTTGTTTTGAGAAAAGCCTTTAAGACCCCAGATGCTATTTTATCTGATAGTAATTATCTAATTTCTTCACTACATTTTGCCAGAGCACCTTTCTCCTCTCTGCTCCCTTCCTGAGGGTGAGTCTGAGCAGGGCCATGATATTCTTACCTTGGAGCTGAGATTTAGTGTGAAACCAAAGCACATTCATGGATCTATGTTTGTTTTTTTCTTTCAATTTATTATTACTTGGAATTAACCCAAATGACATGTCAGTGCCTGATTTAATCTCATTAAGCATAGTTGTACCATTGCTTCTATAATAGGTTTCTAAACATTGTATTTCTTCCTGGGTAACTTGGTAACATGTCGCTTTTATCCGCACCCTCTTCCCTCTACCCCCTCCCTGGAACTATTATTCTATTTGCTATCCCTATAGGTTCATTAATTCTAGCTCTCATTTACCAAACATCAGAAAAACTTGTATTACAACCTCAAGAAGGTAACTTGCCCGCTCCATAGCACCTCTGAGATACACCCTGATATGAACAAGCAAAAACCAAATACAACAGAATGATTGTCACAGGTTGGTCAGAATGATACTTATTACAACCTATAGGGAATTAAGGTAGAAAGAACTGATTTTCTGCCTACAAACAGCTCTCCAAAATTGAACCCTATTATCTAAAATCTAAGACAATATCTGAATACATATTTCAATGTTGTTCATCAATGTTAGTGACATCTATAGGGTTGGTCTTACCCTATACTTTAAAACAAGACGCCACTGCCCTGTGAGAGGGGTCAGCTGGTAAACCATCCTTTGGTGGGTAGAGTGGCCCAACTTTGCCCTGACTTCAATATGAACTGAGCATGAGGCATAGCCTCACTTCTCCCAGCCCCACCTACCTAAACTCCTGCTCTCTCCCCTTTGCCAAAGCAGAGAGCACATTGACTGGTAGGTGAAAACTATAATGTATTATCACCAGAGGTTATGTGTGTCACCAATCCTACTGATGCTGCTGCCTTGGGGATCCCTTACCCTGCAGCACAGCATTACCTACCACCACTGTCAGATAGCCTGGGGTTAGTTTATTCTCCTCCCTCTGACAGTGCTAATGGTATTGTCTGAGCTTTCAACTGTCCTCACATAAAACCACTGGTTTGAGTAGAAGTTTGGCAAAGTAAATGATAGACAAGAATGACATACACGTTGAGGTGTCTTCTGCATTTTTGAAAAATTTAGACTA